GTTGAAGACGCTGAAGAATTTCCCCTGGAAAATGTATTCTTTTTTATAATGAAGACATGTAAAGTTGTGTCTTGTAGTACTCTATTATAAGTAATTTATTCTAATGTGCAGAACTAAAACGAATACCAAACACAGTGTACCAGAAACTGCTCACAGTTCACAGAGTTTAAATAAAATTCTGGGGCATTGGAGAGAGACTGACTCTAGTTAAAAGACATAGTTCCAAATACTCATATATATATATATATATATATATATATATATATATATATATATTATATATATATATATATATATATATATAAACATGAGCATTAAACAAAGAACGCGATAGAAAACTAGCTATCTGTGAAAAAAGATTTTTGAGAAGTCTGGGAATAAAACCAAAAGAGATCATGTGAGATATTAGGAAATGAGAACTAGGTCCTCGTGTGACTTTCAGGTCCCATGGTAAGGGGGAAGGCAGGGGGGGGGGGGTGGAAGGGGACTGTGAGTTATAGCTCCCCAACAAGCCTGTCACAAAAGGCGAACAAATAAGGGATTTCCTTTGAAGTCGGAGTACGCCTGCATGAGCAGCGATGAACCAGCAGTCTGCATACAAATAAACCATTTGTGTTTCGGGGAGGGGAGGGGGCGCTAAGGGGCAGAGGGAGATAGAATGAGTTACTGACAACTTAATACATAACAGCTCACTAAGCAACGGAGCACGTCCTGGCTTGACTTTCTGTTCTTCATTAAAATGCGACGCTTAGTGGCACAAAGCAGATTTTTTAGTTAGTGACAACAATCATTTCATAGATTGGGGTAGCTAGTTTGTCTGCGTCAGGTGGTGTCAATAGTCCTAAATGTAGAGTTTGTTATCGGTTGTCATTACCCTTTGTACTTTCGGTCAATTTTTTCTAAGTGTGTGATTTCACCGTCATATACAGCTTATTTATTCGTTGTCTTGTTATCGTTAAGGGTTATCGCTGTTATCGTAGCGTCTCGTGACGTATTTCAATCATTTACATTTTATCATCAACAGTAAACATGTCTTTTGCTGAGTTTGTCAGCATGGCTAAGGAGTTGGGATTCAAGCCTGAAGAGATTCTAGGCTTGGCAGAAGCTATGATAAAGGACAGAGAAGAGACGCAAAGAAAGAAAGAAGTGCCAGAGATGAGAGAGCAGCAGAGAGAGCTTATTAGAAAGAGTTGGCAGAGATAGGAAGACACAAAGAGATAGTGCGGTTGGAAGCGCTAAATAATGAAAAGGGTTCGAACCACTCAAGTGAAGATGTGGGGAAATAAACCCAAGCTACCCTTTCTAAAACCTGATGATAAATTGCATTCATACATTGAAAGATTCGAGGAAGCACATAGGTGTGCAGGAATTCCAGAATCACAATGGGCTTCACGCCTGCATGATTTGTTGACAGGAAAAGCACTTTTTACATTTAGCAACATGTCGACAGAAAAACAAAGTTCTTTTGCCACGGTACGTCAAAAGCTGCTAGCCTTCAGGCAAATGAGTGAAGAGGGTTATAGGAAGCGCTTTCATGATGACATGCCAGCTAATGATACATCTTTTGCTGAATTTATTGCTAACATTAAAACTTCCTTTTCAGGTGGTTAGCACTGGCGAGTACTGGTAACTCGTGTGATAAACTTGTTGACCTGATGCTTAGAAAAAAGGTATTATCCTCATGTAGTAGAGACTTGCAAGAAAGAAAGGAAACATAAAGCGCGGATAACACCAGAAAGCATTAAACTGATTGAAGATAGGAAAAGTAAAAAGGCAGACTTAAACAGTAGCAAAACTAGAGCTGCTAAAGCTAGAGCTCAGGATAAATACACAGAAGCCAATAAGGAAGTTAGGAGGCGTATAAGGACAGATAAAGTGAAATATCTAAATGGTCTAGCACAAGAAGCAAAAGGAAACCTCAGAGAACTTTACAGTAACACAAGACAATTAGTAGGTAAATACACGCAGCCAACTGGATCAATCAGAAATGTTCAAGGAAAGGTACTTACTAACATTAAAGATCAAATGGACAGATGGGTTAAATATTTTTAAATGCTTTTAAATAGACCAGGTCCAGAGGTCCCCCCCCCCCCCCCCCCCCCCCCCACCCTCCACCCCGATATCCAACCTCTATAAATGGAACTAGACATCAACTGTGAGATACCATCTAAAGAGGAATTAGAAAAGCTATCAATCTCCTCAAGAAAGGAAAGGCGGCAGGCCCAGATGGTATCCCAGCTGAAGCCATCAGGGCCAACATAAACACATCAACAGAACTGCTACATAAATTATTCAGTAAAGTCTGGGAGACTACAAGGTCCGCATTTGGTCAGAAACTGTTCAAAGTATGTCGGACAGAGTAATGCCGCACAGAGTGTGGAAACTACTGAAGTATCAGAAAAGCTTAAAATATAGATGGGACAAGAGTCAGAAGTAATTCTTTCGGCTTTATCAGCAGCATGTATGGTAGGACGGTTACCACTACATAAAGGAATTGTATATCATTTTTTCAGCTACGGCCTTAAGAAACACGGGCCTGAACATAATTGGAGTCGCGAAGTACATAGTACCAAAGTCGGCGTACTTAGGCAAATGTATGAGATGTCACACTAGTGGTGGCAGTATCGAGAAATACCCTGTGGAAAAAGTCTATATTAACCGTTGTTATTTTCAGGGTTCAACAGAAGTATGCGTATTGAACCATCCAGTAGCTGATGTATTGGTGGGATCAGTGAAAGGAGTCACAATGCCTAGTGAGAAAAAGATTGAAGAGTTGTATCAGAAACATATAGGAACAGCTAACGCTGTTGTTGCAAGACCACAGCTGGTGCACGAGAGCGAAGAAGACAGGCTACACGATAAGGACAAAGAACCTATTAAGAGGCAGATGGTTATTCAGTCTGCGATAGCCAGGCCAGAAAAACAGCAAAAACAGAGCCAGTCAAATTTCAATACCGAGCAGAAAGCAGATCCTACTTTAGAAAGGTACGACTACGTCCTGATGGTAAAGGGATCAGAATATACAGAGATGGGAGTAGCATCTTGTTGCCAGGCAACAGAGGAGTCAATTCAGAAAGTGGATGAGAATGCCAAACTCTATATGCATCTGCTACATCTGGTACACAGAAAGTCCTGGAAGGATGAGAAGATATCCAGTGCCATTCCAGTAGAAAACCGCAGTCAAAACTCTAGAATGCTGGCCACATTCGACAGCACTTTGACTGGCATTCCAGGCAAAACCACAGAGGCAGTGCACAAAATCGAGTTGTTGAACAGCCATCCAGCGTAAGTTAAAAATAAATTGGTAGCATGAAGAAATTCATCAAATTCCCGGTTCCTGGAGCAAAGAAACAAGTAAGAGTGTCATTGGCGTTGGGAAATTGTTATTCCAAATTCATCGCACACTACTCAACCATCACAGCTGCACTGTCTTCGTTGACTAGGATAAGTATGCCAAATAAGATACAATGGACAGAGGAATGTGCAAAAGCATTACATGACTTACACGTATCATTCACTTGTATGCGATTGTTGCGTTTGCCTGATCTACCTTTACGTTTCCATATTTCATGTGATGCCTCCGATGTCGGATTGGGAGCCGTTATGATGAACGAGCACGATGCATCTTTGCATCCATTCCTCTATGTCAGCCGTAGACTGAAACCGGCAAAGACCAGGTACAGCGTCAAGGAACGTGAAGCATTGGTCATTTACTATGCTGTCTCCAAGTTTGCAAACTTCCTATTTGGTTGCAGATTTACCATTTGGACTGAACATCAACCATTGCAAATTCCTAATTCGGGTTCTATTAAAAATGCTAGAACTCTTAGGTGGTCTTTAGTGTTGCAGAAATTTTCCTCTAACACAGAATTTATGAATGGCAGGAAGAATCTGCTAGATGATTACCTTTCAAGGTTAAACAAGTGAGAAGTGTCGCATTAAATGGCAATGTTAAGGCCATGTAATTATATTAATGTTTTCAAAGTGATTGACATTTGTTGATATACTGAATGCTTAGGTATGTGATAATACTACGGATGTAGAAATCACATGTTCCGATTATGTACTATATTTGTAAAATCAACACGCAACAAGTCTTCTAGCTTCACAACTGACAACCTCACTTAATTTTGTTAGTTGTCAGTTGCGGAAGTGAGGAGGGGATATTGCTGCGTGTGGATTCGTGTGGATTCGGAAGGGTTGGGGATAATGTTGTGTGAATTGTGTTTTCGGGAGTCCACGGCATTGCCCGGTGACCTGAGTCAATATTTGGGGGCAGTGTTGACTTAGGCCAGTCAATGTCAGTGCGGCTTGAGTCAAAATTATTGCAAAATGGTGTTGACTTAGGACTGAATGGACCAGTGGATTCAGGAAGTTATCAACCCAGTGTGGGCTAATTATAATACTAACTGCGTGGATAGCAGCTTTCGCACAGAAAAGTATGTGGTTCTCAGTAAAGAAAAATCAAGCATAACAGTGAACGTCTCTTGTGCACGAAGACTCACAAAAGAGAGGCGTGTGAATATAGTGGGGTTCAGTTTAGTTGAGAGACAGAAAAGTCTGCTAGAACGTGTCGAGAAAACAGCTGAGTTGAGAACGTTCGAGACGGTGAGAACGTTCGAGACGAAAGCACTGGCGAGAGACTGGTCTAGGAGACAGTCTAAGGAAGAGAAGTTCTGTGGTCAGTTAGGCCTAGAGAGTTCGACTACTTCAAGAAAAGGCTGTCTTGGGTGACGACGCATGTGAGGCGGTGGGATCATTAGTGAAACAAGATAGCCGAGATGTCGGCGACAGATGTGTGCTGAAGAGGACTTAGGCTTGGAGTCCTGTCGGTCATCGGGGTTCCTTTGATGAGGCTGATGTACTGTGTGCACATACTGGAGATCAAGAATCATACGTTTTCCAGTCAGCCGATGCGACAGTGTCTGCTACGTATAGAGCAACAGATGTCAAGTTAAGTAGAAGATATAACCTGTTCATCCGTTCGGCAAGCTATGAAA